GAGAGAGAGAGAGGCGAGAGAGAGAGAGACGCGAGAGAGAGAGAGAGAGAGAGAGAGAGAGAGAGAGAGGGAGAGAGAGAGGCGAGAGAGCGTGACCCACCCCTTGTTTTCAGTTAGCGGTTCCGTTCGCGGCCGCGACGCTCAGCTCAGAGAAGCATGGCGGGGCAGTAAAAATTAACTGCGACGCCAGGAGCTTCCGCCGCGCTTCAATACCCCATTGAACCTCGTCTCGGTTCCTTTTTCCTTTAACCTGCACCCCCTACCCCTCCTACTACTTGTCTTCCTTTTTTTTCGAGGTCGACATTGACATTGTTGGTATTCGTACCGTGAAAGGAAGACAGGTCCCGCGGGAAGTAGACAATGACGGAATTTCCGCATGCAGAATCCCGATTTTTTTTTTGAAAAAATTCTGACTTTTAGGCCTATTGCTCTGGAAACTCAGGTGTGAGACAGTCTAACACCAAATGGTGTGAGGAAAAATACCTCACACCAAACGGTGTGAGGCAAACATACCTCACACCAAATGGTGTGAGACTCGTTGTGCCTCACACCAAATGGTGTTATACTTTCTCATACCAAATGGTGTGAGACACAGAGGGTCTCGCACCATTTGGTGTGAGGCACAACTAGTCTCACACCATTTGGTGTGAGGTATGTTTGCCTCACACCGTTTGGTGTGAGGTATTTTGCCTAACACCATTTGGTGTTAGACTGTCTCACACCCGAGTTTCCAGAGTGGTCAATATATTGGTTTTATAACATTTTCATAACCGTGGTTAGTAATATACTTGTCTTAGTAATCTCTGTACATCTTTAACTTTTCTTTTGGAAACAAGTCTCATGTTTGCTCTTTGACGAAAACAAAGGCGGCACATATGGTGGGCTGCGAGCAAACAATATTTTTTACGACCTAAAGTTTAGAGCTCCTACAAAATTTCTTGAGGAAAAACTGAATCTGGAAATAAACGCGAGGAATATGATTTTCCCAGCTCCCTTCACAGCCCTTCACAATTGTACCAACCAAACACACACAAACACACACAAAAGGATATCGCGAACACAACGCGCAGGGCAGCCGCCACCGCTATGGCCGCCGCGTTCACAGCGTGTTTAAATGTAAGCCGCTTATCAGTCTGGGCACGGCGTTGCAGGGCGTTGCAGGGTGTTGCAGGGCGTTGCAGTGCGTTGCAGGGCGTTGCAGGGCACTGCAGGGCGGCTAGGTGCCGCGCATAAAACACGATAGAGGGGCCAATTACGTGCAATATAACGCGGATCCAATCCCTCCTCCCCCCTCACCTCCTCCCCCCTCACCCCCTCCCCGCACCCGAAGGGCTCGGGGCCCGGGCCGTTGTGTCAAGCGCATCGAGAGAGAGGGCGATCGATTCCGTGCCGCGTCCATCTGGCGGTATAGGCAGAAGGGCGTTGCTGCTGCTGCTGCTGCAGTCCGAGGCCTCTGGCCTCTGTGCTGCCGCGAAGCCGCTGCACTAGTTTCCCCCGCACGGAAAAAAAAGGCTAGAGAGCTGAAAATTTAGCCATGACAGTTGTCTACAAAATAGAGCAACTAGCTGTCTGTGAAAGCTAATATATTAGCTCTCTTAGCTAAGAATTAGCTAGGAGAGTTAATATTCTAATCTAAGGCCGTATAAGCGAATGCATTAGCTAATTTAGCTAATCCTTTTTTTTTCCGTGCGCTGCTCTTGTGCTAAAAACCTGTCATGCACACTCCACACGCACTGTAAAAAAAAAATAGCTGTACCGCAGTTTTACGACCTACCTGCTGCTGCGCGATAGCTATACGCCGCAAGTTATCCTAATTTGTACCTTAAGCTGTCAAATTGCAATTGAGAATAGGATCCTACACACCTTCTAGTCTACAAAGCTATCTGCGCTGGCTTTGTATACAAATCACACACATGTATAGATCACACACAAGAAATGTGAGTCTTTGAAGTCAAATGACATTCAGAAACGAGAATGTCATCGTACATGAAAAAAAAAACCCGTACCGGAACGATATTTTCAACGGCGTCAATTAAGTCTACAGTCTATGTTACAACCAAATAACGTCTACAAAAATAATTAAGAGACTGACCTGTTTCTTAACAAAGGAGACAAAACCATATCCTTTTGATTTGAGCGTCTGGGGGTCCCGCACGACTCTGCAATCCCTGCGGCAAACAGGAAAATAAGGCGGTTAGCAACAAGAACAAGAACAAGAACAACAACAACAACAACAACTCCATGTTTCTCAGCCGACGGGACGATGCGCTGCCGCCGGGCACCACTAGCAGAAGAACTACCATGGCGGAGAAACTTTGCATAAAGGGCGGCGCACGGCGCCGAAGCGCAGCGGGCGAAAAGAGCGCGAAAAATGAAAACAGATGACGTGAAGGCCACGCTGGCGTTGGCCCACCAGAGGTAATCAAGTTAAGGGCCCTAGCCGCCGTCACCTTAAGCGGGACGGATTACCACTCAGCCTGTCCAGAGACAGCTTATTTACACACACTACCCCGAAAAAAAAAGAAGAAGATAAACAGTGAGAAAAGCAGTAATGGCAAATTCTCAACTGTCCCTTCCCTTCTCTTCATTCACGGACCTGCACTGCTTTATTTATTAGAAAATATCCAACAGCTCATAAAGATTCTTAAACAGGAGAGAAATACTGACAAAGGGGTTAAAGAAACAGTGGCAGTGCGAGAGTGTTAGAAAATAACAAGAGTACTAACGATGCAAAAATCTTTCTTTCAGCACCACTACACGATAATGCTAAAAAAAAACACCAACAAATAATCGCAAGGAAAGTGAAAAGAAACTGCAGTGCTTAGCGCGCTCGCGCCCTACATTTGGTGAGTGAGTGTGCAGTGCAGAGCACAGAGATGGACGGCCTAAAGCAGAGAACAATGAGGGCGTTAACAAGGCCCGGGCCCTCGTCAGGGCACTGCAGGGCAGGCGGTGCGCACAAGGAAGACCCACTTCCGGTCCCACTTCCGGTCCCACTTCCGGCTCCTCTCCCGTGCGATAGCCATAACACCGTCGCGCGAGTAAGCAAGTTTTAAAATATGTGACCAGGACAAAGTCCCCGGCTTTAACTTTATTTCGTTTGTTTTTTGTTGGGGACTTCCATCACCGCCGTTACAAGCGCGACCACCAACACCATGGCTGCCGCGACTTTCTTTTCCATTCCAACGGCAGCGGTGGGGAGCCTGGAGGGG